GACATTTTAATTATGTTAATTCTGCCAATCCATGAACACTGAATATCTTTCCATTTCATTGTCTTTTAAAATCTCTGTCAATAATGCTTTGTTTTTAGTATATAGGCCCTTCACATACTTTGTTAAGTTTAGTCTTAGGTATTTTATCCTTTTTGTTGCAGTTGCAAAAGGAATTGTTTTTTTCCCTGAAATTTCATTGTTAGTACATATTAATGCAGATAATTTTTGTACATTGATTTTGCATCCTGCAACTTTACTGTATTTGTTTATTGTTTCTAATTGTTTTTTGGTGGGGTCTTTAGGGTTTTCTATATAAAGAATTATGTCATCTGCAAAAAATGACAATTTTACTTCTTCATTCCTAATATGGATGCCTTTATTTCTTTCTCTTTCTTGCCTGATTGCTCTGCCTAGGACTTCCAGTACTACGCTGAGTATGTGGTGAGAGCAGACATCATAGCCTTGTTCCTTATCTTAGAGGGAAAGTTTTCATTTTTTTTCACCATAGAGTATGAGATTAGCTGTGGGTTTGTCATATATGGCCTTTATTATGTTGAGGTACTTTCCTTCTATTCCTATTTTATTGAGTGTTTTAATAATAAATGGATGTTGTATCTTATCAAATGCTTTTTCTGCATCTCTTGATATGATCATATAATTTATATTCTTTATTTTGTTAATGTGGTGTGTTACATTGATAGATTTGCATATGCTGAACCATCCTTGTGTCCCTAGAATGAACTCCACTTGATTGTGATGTGTTTTTAAATGGATTATTGTATTTGATTTGCTAGTATTTTGTTTAGGACTTTTGCATCTGTATTCATCAGAGATATTGGCCCATAGTTTTCATTTTTGTGTGTTATTCTTGCCAGGTTTTGGTACCAGGGTTATATTGGCCTCATAAAAAATGGGTTAGAAAGTATTGCCTATTCTTCAATTTTTTGGAAGAGTTTAAGATGGGTAGGTATCAAATCTTCCTTGAATGTTTGATAGACTTCACTAGTGAAGCCATCTATCTGACCCTGGACTTTTTGGGAGTTTTTTTTTTATTTTTTTATCCTCACCTGAGGATATTTTTCCATTTTTTGTACAGATAGAGTGGGAGGGAGAGAGAGGAAGGGAGAGAGAGAGAGAAACATCGACGTGAAGGGACACATCGAGTGGCTGCCACCCGCACGACCAACCAGGGCCGGTGACAAACTGCAACCGAAGTACGTGCCCTTAGCGGGAACCGAACCCGGGTCTCTCCGGACCGCAGGCCGACGCTCTAACCGTTGAGCCAAACTGGCCAGGGCTCCTTTTTTTTTTTTTATCCTCACCCAAGGACATTTTTCCATTTTTTTGCATATAGAGTGGGAGGGAGAGAGAGAGAGAAACACTGATGTGAAAGGGACACTTCGAGTGGCTGCCACCTGCACGACCAACCAGGGCCGGGGACAAACTGCAACCGAGGTACGAGGTACGTGCCCCTAGTGGGAACCTAACCCGGTTCTCTCTGGACCGCAGGCCGATGCTCTAACCGCTGAGCCAAACCAGCCAGGGCGCTTTTTGGGAGGTTTTTGATGGCTGTTTCAATTTCCTCACTGTTGATCAGTCTATTTAGACTCTCTAGTTCTTCCTAATTCAGCCTAGGAAGGTTATATATTTCTAGGAAATTAACCATTTCTTCTAGGTTATTGAATTTGGTGGCATATAGTCTTTCATAGTATTCTACTATGATCCTTTGTATTTGTGTAATGTCTGTGGTAACTTCTCTTTCATTTCTGAGTTTGCTTGAATCTTTTCTCTTTTTTCCTTAATGAGCCTCACCAGGGGTTTGTCAATTTTATTAATTTTTTTCAAAGAACAAGCTCTTGGTTGCATTAATTTTTGTGTAGTCTTTTTGTTCTCTGTTTTATTTTTCTGCTCTGATTTTTTTATTGTTGTTAATTCTCACCTGAGGATATTTTTTCCATTGATATTTACAGAGAGTGGAAGGGAGGGAGGGGGAAAAAAGAAAGAGAGAAAGAGAGAGAGGGAGAGAGAGAGACATTGATGTGAGAGAGGTACATTGGTTGGTTGCCTCCCACACATGCCCCAACCGTGGCCAGGGATTGAACCTGCAAACAAGGTATGTGCCCTTATCCGAGAATCTAACCCATTACCCTTCAGTGTGTGAGCTGACACTCTAACCACTGAGCACACTGGCCAGGCTCTACGTCCCTTTCTTGTGCTTACTATCTCCTTGTTGAAATTCTCACTGAATCCATCTATTCTTCCTCTAAGTTCCTGAAGCATCCTTTAACCATTGCTTTGAACTCTGTATCTGGTAGATTGCTTGACTCCATTTTATTTAGTTCTTTTTCTGGGGCTTTCTCCTGTTCTTTCATCTGGGGCATGTTTCTTTGTCTCCCCATTTTGGCTGCCTCTCTTTATTTGTTTCTGTGTGTTAGGCAGAACTGCTATGTCTCCCAGTTCTGACAGGGTGGCCTTATGGAGCAGGTGTCCTTGGGCTCGGTGCTGCAGTGTCCCCGATCCCCTGAGTAGGTGCTCCAGGAACGTCCTTTGTGTGGGTTATGTGAGTCCTGCTGTTGTAGTTGAGGCTTGATTGTTGTTGGTCTGTTGTAGGTGGGGTTGACCCTCAAGCTGACTGTCTGTGAGGATTGACCCCAACCACAGTGTATAAACTGCTATGGGTAGGCGGACCCCACGAAGCAGGAGCTGGTGCCCGCTGAGCTGCCTTTGGGTGCCACTGTGGAGCTGACTGTGTTGTATCTGATGTGGTCTGAAGCCAGCCACTGGCTGTGTTGGTTCTGAGGCCTCTAGGGAAAGACTCCAGTGCCGGTCAATGTCAGACACTGCCTGTGACCGGTCCTGAGCTACCTGTCGCAGTTGGTGGCTCCCTCTGCTGGGCCTGGGTGCACAGGGGAGGGGCCAAGCTGCATACCTAGGCTGGTTTCCACCAGTACCGAGCCTGGGTCAGGACACAAAAGGCCCAAGGCACCCCCAAATGTGCCTCCACCTGCCAGCTGCCTGTTAGGCTCAGCCACTGAGAGAGCCTCTGGCCTGAGGTAGTTAGTTCCTCAGTGAGTCATCAGGTGGGGACCAGTGGTGTTGACCAGGCTGAGACAGATTCAAACTCAGCACCGGGGCTGGGTTTGATGCCACTCAGTGGGTCCCAGAGTACGGCAAGGCCAGCTGCCACCTGCCACCCACCTGGGGCCTTTGCGGTGGGTTAGGGTCTCGGTGTCATCAGAGTGAGGCCAGTCGAGTTCATCAGGCTGAAACAGATTAGGTGTTGGGCACGAGGAAGCAGAATCTGCACAGGGACAGTGACGCTGGTGGGGTGCACGGAGAAAATGGCCCTCCCCGGAAAGCCACAACTCGGTCTCTCTCCCTGTGTCTCCGACACCCCTGGGGTCTGCTCAGACCTCCTCAAGAGCCTTCCAAGAAAGACCATAGTGGGCCCAGCTGGTCGAAGAGTGAGCTTGGCAGGGTGGGACTACAGGAGGGGCTAGTGCATCTCTCCAAGTGGGGTCAGTGCTACTGGACCCTCAGAGGGAAAAACAGCCCTAAACCTAAAGCCACTCCACTCAGTCTCTCCCAGTACATCTTTGACAGCCCCCGAGTCTGTCCTGACCTCCTCGAGAGCCTAGTAAGAAAGACTGCAGTGGGCACAGGATGGCTGCAGCTAGCTGACTCCTCTGCAGGGGTGAGCTTGGCAGAGGGGGGCGGCTGGGAGTCTGGAGGGTGGGGAGGGCAGTGCTCGACTCAGGAAATATGGTGTCTGTGGGTGGGGTGGGAGAGGGACTCAGCACAGGGATAATGGAGACTGTCCCTCCAGCCCTCTCCCTGAAGCCACACAATCCAATCTCTCCCGGTGTGACTCCAGTCCGCTCTGAGCCACTGTCCCTCTGCTGGAGCCCATGTTGGGTGCCCGTGAATGCAGTTTTGTGCACTGGCCCTTTAGAAGGGTTTCTGGAGTTCCAGCAGTCTCCCATCCCTCCCTGGTAGGTGAAGTCCCCACTAATTTTTGCAGCCAGATATTATGTGGGCTCCTCTTCCAGGCACTGGTGTTCTGGGCTGGGGATCTTGGCATTGGGTTGAGACCCCTCACTGCTCAGGGGGGACCTTTGCAGCTGAGGTAACCCTCTGGATTCTCAACTGCCACCCTTGTGTCTCTGCCCCTCCTCCAGTCTCCGTGTGGCTTCTTCTGTGTGTCCTTAATTATAAGACCTTTTTTCAGCTAGTCTATAGTTGATTATTCGGGTTGACTGTTCCGTCATTTAGTTGTAATTCTGATTTGGTCCTGGGAGGAGGTGAGTGTAACTTCCACCTACTCTGCCATCATCTTGGGTCCTTGTTTTCAATTCTTGGGGTATAGACTAGGAGCAGAATTTCTGGGTCACATGCTACTTCTCCATCTGCCTTTTAGAGGAGGGATTCCCCGTCGAGGCTGATGTGCGCAGGGCTGGGGCTCATGGTCAGATTCATGGACACTGGAGACGCAGGGGTTTACTCTCTGCCAGGCCGACAGGCCCTCCCCATGCCACGGTGGGGGTGTTTGGACCTTAACTGTCCTTCTGAAGATGAATAAACCTGGGAGCAACAGGCTGGGGCTCGCCACCATCTCACGGTGCACAGGTTCCTAAATGAGAATGAAAGCCGGAACCCACCGGCTCAGAAGCGGCTCCTGCCCATTGTGATGCCTTTCACTGGGATGAGTCCTTGATCCATTCCTTCCCAAGGGAAAAAAATAACACTCTCTCCTCGGGGCCTGTCCTCCGGCACGTGGAGAGCAGACTCCGGCTGATGAAGTTCTGCGTCCTAGAGCTGAATGGGTTTAGTCGGTGCCGGGAAGTTGAGTCCCAGGGCCAGGTGTAGCTGCTTCTAGACCCGATGGTCAGGGCCCACAGAGGGGCTCTCTGTGCCTTCTGCAGGGATGGCCCAGCAGGGTGTTGTTGGGAGGAAGCAGAAGCCTGGACTAACCCTGGTTCTTAGCCAGCCCCTCCCCACAGCACCGCTGCCCCCGCCCTACCAGCTGCAGGAGGTGGCGGTCCCCCTTGTGGGGAACGAGGTCTGTAACCGGCACTACCAGAACTCTTCAAACATCGTTGGCCAGATCATCAAGGATGACATGCTGTGTGCTGGGAGCGAGGGCCGGGACTCCTGCCAGGTGAGACCCCTGGCCGCCCCCATCCTCTGTCCTCTGTCCCCTGTCCCCTCCCAGCCCGTGGAATCAGGACTCAAGCCCCGTTGCGGTGGCACGTGTGGAGGTGTTCGCTAAGTCCTGCTTCCCCCACAGGGTCACTCCGGAGGCCCCCTGGTGTGTAGTTGGAAATGCGCCTGGGTCCAGGTAGGGATTGTGAGCTGGGGAGACATCTGTGGTCATCGTGACTTCCCTGGGGTGTACACCCGAGTGATGAGCTACATTTCTTGGATCCGGCAGTATGTTCCTCCATCCCCTGGATCCTAGATGAGGCCAGGTGGGGTTCTCATGATGGAAAGACCCCCAATCTTCCTTGTTGACACCCTGCTTCTTCCCCAATTTCAGCCTCATCCTCCCATACCTCCTCGTCCTTCATCTCACCCCCCACAGTGCCGAGACCCTCCTGCACTTCGGTGCCCCAGTTTCCCTGACTTTGGGGGGAGACACAGGAAGATGCTCTGAAGGCTGGTATCTCTCACAGTAGGGTGGGCCAGGGATAAGGCGCCTGGACTCAGGGCCTCCTGCTCACCCTCTGTTTCCCATTAAACTTGGAAAAGCCAACTCCAAACTGTGGCTTGGGGTCATGGCATGGACCACCCTGGCAATGACTGAGGGAGCAGTGGGGGCCCCCTGGAGAGGTCCCTGGGCTCCAGGGCTCCATGGTGGACATGGGGGAGTTCTCAGGGGTACAGTACCATGTGATGGCATTTCTGGGGGCTCATGTGGGTTATCTTGCCCAAGGGTTCCCCTCTCCCTTCACTTTCTTCTTCCTTTTCCTTCCTCCCTCCCCTCCCTCCTTCTCCCTTCTTTTTATTTTCCTTCGCTGCTCTTCTATATCTTCTCTCTCTCATTTCCTACCTCTTTCTTCCCTCCTTCCCTTCCTTAATTTTCCTTGATCAAATGTGCCCAGCGTGGACAAGGTCTTGGGGGTAAGGAGTTGACTGAGTTGGTTCCTGGGATCCTGGAAGTCAGGGAGGTGAGGACAGACGTAGACGCACCATTGCAGCGAGTGTGGACATGGCGTGGCGGTGAGTGCTGAAGGCAGCTGCAGTGACAGGTGTGGTCCCGCTGGACCTGTGGGGGGCTTGACTGGCTGAGCTGCCAGGCCAGCATGAGCAAGGGTGGGGATCAGGGGAAGGAGCTCCAGGCAGGGGGACAGGTGGTGGGGACAGAGGCGTGAGCTTGGACAGGGTTTGAGGTGGCGAGGACCATGCTCAGAGTGTGCCTGAACGTCAGCTTGTTGGGTTTTCAACATCAGCATATCAGCAACAGAGGAGGCTTAAAAATCCCATAAAATATGAAAGTGCATGTACGATTCTGGGTAGATGGCCTGAGAGCCTCCAACTTCAGAGACTTATTAGAGATTCAGGACCCCTTATTAGAAACTAAAAACAAGCAAACAAGCAGCTCAAAAAAAAAAAGGTCTGGTATTTGTAGTAGTATTTGTACATAGCCAAGAATTTTCTGGAATCAAACAAAAATGTGAATCCTCAGTGGAAAGTGCTCAGTGAAAATCTAGCAGAATAAATACAAATGAATCCTACACCTAAACCCATTTTAGTAAAACTGCAAAATGTCAATATTAAAAGCCAGCAGAGACGAGTAATAGTTAAATAAATGACTATGAGAATCAGCAGTCTTCTGGTCAGCAAGAATAAGTGGTAAGAGAACCTGGAGCAATACCTTTATTTATTTATTTTTATTTTTCTATTTTTTTGGTATGTGCCCCTAGTGAGAACTGAACCCAGGATTCTCTAGTCCGCAGGCCATCGCTCCAACCACTGAGCCAAACCGTCCAGGACTGCAGCAATACCTTTAAAGTGGTGAGGAAAAATCATGGTCAATATAAAATTTTATTCCCAGATAAACTATCTTGCAACATCGAGGGGAAAATAGTGATATTACAAAACATAAAACATGAAGTGTTGCCCTGGCCAGTTTGGCTCAGCGGTTAGAGCATCAGCCTGCGGTCCACAGAGACCCGGGTTCGGTTCCCGCTAAGGGCATGTACCTTGGATGCAGTTTGTCCCCGGCCCTGGTTGGGTCGTGTGGGTGGCAGCCACTCGATGTGTCCCTTTCACATCGATGTTTCTCTCTCTTCCTCTCTCTCCTTCCCGCTCTATCTGAGTAAAAAATGGAAAAATGTCCTCCAGTGAGGATAAAACAAAAAACAAAAAACAAAAAAAACAACAACAAAAAAACATGAAGTGTTTATCCTACAGGCACTCATTAAAAGAACTATTTAAGGATTTATTCCAGAAAGAAGAAATATTAATTCAGAGAAATGGTGTGGGACAAAGAAAACAAAGCATTTATGAAAAAAAAACACCCCGCATGCCATCTTCAGAAGACACACCTGAATGGCCATAAGCATTGATTGGCCTCCTTCATAATCAGAGGAATGCCAAGAAAAATAAAAGGACACACAATTTCACATTCATCAGATTGGAGAAAATAAAAAAGTACAATGAACTGTATGTGGACAAAGATGTTGAGAAATGAGCACACCCTCTGTTGATGCACCCCTCTGAGCAGTTTGGAAACAGCTGGTGCAGTTGCAAAGCATTTCATACCAAAAAACAAATGCCTTATTGGTTTGAATTCATACTCTAAACAAGGTTTGCATGGCTGTGTTCATTGTTACATTGTTTTTAAGAGCAAAACCTGGAGACAGCCCCGAGGAGGATGGATAAACAGTGTGGCTGGTTGGTATCAGGGAACCTGATGGGAGGAGCAGAGATACCTGTGTCAGTGTAGAAACCACAGACCAAATGTAGCATGGAGGCCATTTATTGAAACTTCAGGTCTATAAAGTAATGCTGTGGATTATGGGTGGACACAGACAGAGTGAGGGAGTGCTGTGTCCTGCAGCTGGATGGGCATCTAGACTTTTAGACGTTAGATCAGACCCCTACCATAGTGGACAAGGGGAAGCTGTGTCCCAGGGCCAGGCGGGCTGGTGTAGACGCCAGGGTCAGGGCTCAGGGCCCACGGAGGGGCTTCCCGGGCCCTCTGCGGATGCCAGGGTGCTCCCGCGGGAGGGCAAGGAGTTCCTATGTTGGTGGGAAGAAGCAGGAGCCAGGGACCAGCCCTGGTCCTCAGGCAGCCCCTCCCGCAGTGTCGCTACCCCTTCCCTCTGCCCTACCAACTGAGGAGGTGCCGGTCCCCATCGTGGGGAACGGGGCCTATAACCAGCACTACTAGAACTTTTCAAAAACAGTGACCAGGTCATCAAGGATGACACACTGTGTGCTGGGAGCACGGGCTGGAACCCCTGCCAGGTGAGACCCCCCCCCCCCCCCGTCCTCTGTCTTCTGTCCCCTCCTAGGCCACAAGTATAGGACCCACCAGCTCTGTTGCCATAGGAAGCACTTGCTGAACCCTGCCTCTCCCCACAGGGTGACTCTGGGGGTCCCCTGGTGTTGCTGGGATTGCACCTGGGTCCAGGTAGGGGCTGTGAGCTGGGGCCAACTGTGTGGTCATCATGACTTACCTGGGGTGTATGCCCGAGTAATGAGTTATGTGCCTGGGATCTGCCAGTATGTGTCTCTGTCCCCCAGACCCTGGATGGAGCTGGGGTGGGGGGTCTGCATAATGGGGAGAACTCTGATCTTCCTTGTCTCTCAGGACCCTATTTTTCCTACACGGAGAGCAGGGGTGGAGGAAAACCCAGGAATCATAGGTGACTGCCTGTGATCTGATTCTCATAAACCGTGGGGAAGCTGCTGCAAGGCTGCTGTGTGCTGGGCTGTGGTCAGGGAGGGGCCGGGCGGCGGGCCGGGTTGCTGCGGGTCTTCAGGCCAGGCAGACAGGAGAGGGCTGGTCCCGCCTTTGAGCACAGGTGCTCCGTGCTCCCCCCCCCCTCCCGTGTCTGCCCAGTGAGATGCCCTGTCTCAGCTGTGGTCAGTCCTAGGCACACAGACTTTTTCTCTCCTTCCTTGCCCTGTCCCCCCTTTTCAGAGTTCCCTCACGGCGCTCACTGGGCACTGTCTCTCCCTCCACAGACCTCTGGGTCCAGAGGGATGTGGACATGAGCAGCTGGTGTGATGCAGTGGCAGCTGGTGCTGGAAATACTAGACCAGTGGGATGCTCAAGGGCCCTCTCTCCCTATACTCTTTCAGACCCCCCCACCCCCTGTCTACTCTGGGATGATTCTATAGACGATTTCCTCCCATTTGGGCACCAGGTTCTCTTTCTGGATTTTGGAAGTCTCTTTTGACCTGAGTTAAAACATCCGGTTCATTCCATAAATGGTGGCGGCATCAGCCCAGTAGGTTCCCCGACAAGGACAACTTACCCAGGAAAACGGTGGTCCCCTCGGTTGGTCACCTTGGACACTTGGCCTAAGGTATTCAGAGGTGCCTCGGAGTGATGCTCACGGGGGAAGTGGGGTCTGGGGTCTGTGGGAGAGAGCCCTGCGGATGGTGGGAGCCCACTGGAGAGGGGGTGCAGAGTCCAGGCCCCTGTCTTCAAACTGCTCTGTCTCTACCTGGCCCTCAGCACACTCCATGCCCTTCCTGCGGGAATCACATGAAGAACCAGCCCACGTGGAAAAGAATCTTCTCCCTGGGGTTGTCTCCCTGAGTCTCCCCCAGGACTGTGGTGGGGCCTGGGCCAGGGGCCTGGGCAGGGTGCAGGCTGGGTGATGCTGAGGTTGCCCAGCATCTGACTGACTTCTGAGCATTGAGTCCAGAGTGGGTGTGAAGGGTCTGAGCCAGCACAGTGGGTAGTCCGAATGGGAGAGACAAGGGTCCAGGTCAGTGCCTCAAGGCCCCCAGTCCTTCCTTCACCCACTGTCATTGCCCCTCTGTCGTTGCTGTGGAATGGGCAGGCACACAGAGTGGAGGCTCTGTGTCAGGCGGTACTGGGCCGCCGCTCCCCCCTTCCCATTGCAATTCAGTCTAAAGACTCCAGCATCAGCCCCCTGCCGGTCTCAGCATTACCCTCCCCAATGTTCTCTTCCTCCCTTCTCCCTGTTGGTAGCTGTGACCTCAATGCTGGCCCCACTCCCACTCACTCCGCAGGTACATGGCTGACCCCGGGGCCAGGCCTCCTGTCAGGACAGGGCAGAGGTGTCCCCAGGCCACCTGTGTTGACACTCAGGTTTATAGGGGGCTGGCCCAGGACTTCCAGAACAGGGAGGGGGTGGCGAAAGAACAAGGCTCACCTCTCACATCCTGCTGAGAGAGGCTGGTCACAGAGACCACGTCGGGAGTGATTCCACCCGCAGGAGACGTCTGTAAGGGGACATGGAGGTGGGGGTTGGA